TCAGTTTAGATCATTGTTAGGGGATCGATTCACAGTGTGTCTCAAGAAAATCAACGGAACATTAGTCGACACCTTCGACATATACACAAAAGGCAGCGAGGGACTGAATACATTATACCCGCGGATGCATGGACATTCTGGAAGAATGGTAAAATAATTTTGTTTGGCACAGAGGAGAACTGAAAAATGTTGGCGCGTCGATGTGAATCGGCGTGCTATTCTCACAGTGAAAATTTTCAGAATAGTTATGATTTTTGCTTTCTCCTCTGCGAGCTGACTGTTAAGTTAAGAAGTTGTATGCTGAGCTAAAGTTCACATTAATCGTCATATTTGCCAACGTAACCTTTTTCAGCCCCTTTGTCCAAACTTTGTATTGAAATCTCTCATGCATGATCATTATGTATTCATATCTTCCAAGCTTTCCACAGCCTGCATCAAGATGGTATTTTCAGAGCTGTATTGGGGGAGATAATTTTCTGATCAGTAGCAAGGGGCTTAATCATTTACACTCCTCTGACGATATTGTTCTCATTGTTTGAAGCCTTTGCCAGACAAATGAGATACTGCTGGAACTCAGCGGACGGAGTGAGGGATCGTTCGTGAAGTCAACGCATCGAAATAGAAAAGATGCAAAATACCGGTATGCTTGCGGTAGACTGCGGATAGACGGTGTTGACTGGGAAAAAAGCTACGTCTGTCTTGCGTGAAAAATAAATGTCCGCCACAATCTCCAGCCGAAGACTGCGCATAGACGAGCTACCGGATTGCGCAAATTTCACAGCATCATCCATATCCTCAAAGTGTCAAACTGGAAGAGCCACGTCCAACTCTTCAATACCACTGTGCTGAAGGCGTCGACGTACTAATGCGAGACGTGGTCATTGATGGAAGCTGAACAGCAAGCACTGGCTGTGACAGCGAGAGCGATGGAGCGTAGGTTGGCTAGCACTCATGCTGTCCGTTAGAGATTGGTGTGCGGGAATATTATTGCGACTGAGCGAGGAAGTAAGATTTGATGGACAAAATATGCTGCACGCCTTGCTGACACAAATAGACGCCGGAAGTAAACAGTCACTCATCCGGTCTCCGAAGAGGTAGTACACTAACCGAACAGGCGGTGGTGCTACTAGAGATATGCAGCCCAAGATCAGTGGGCCTAGCACAGCTACTTTCTATGAGTGGGAGTATCCCAGTTGGTACTGATGTGAAATTTCCATTGTTTATCGGGTGTTATTATATTCTTGGTATGTTTTGCGCGTCATATATTGTCAAAGCCATGTTTGTATGCATGTACGTGTATGTATGTGTATGTATTCGGAGTTTTCGGGGTTTTTAATTCAACATTTAAAAAAGCTAGGAAACTGAAGTTTTAGAGAGATGTTTTTTGCGCATATGCGACCGTGCATGCTTAAAATCATCTTTCACATGCGCATAGGTTTCTCACACGGACAAATGAAATTTCTGACGGGAAATATACTAACTCGGAAACAGAGAAGAATGAAAGCTAGAATTTTTACCAATTTAGCTTTCCTTTTAAGGTTTTAGCAATCTGATTTTTGTTTAGTTTTTAAATTTTCATGCTTATTCTTGACATGGAAGAAGGTGAAAAAGGTGAAGAATGGTAAAAGGAGTTGAAGAGGAGAAATATGTATATCGGGAAACTGCAGTTTGGGATTATTTAAATACCTGAAAGAGGCCACCTCTAAGTTAGGAATCTGTCAGTTTGATCTAGTGAAACCGAGGTTTTTGCAGGATTGATGAACAAACAATCGCAACTATTTGCATGCAGTGTCTGAGGGCGTTGGAATATTTGCATTCCCGGGGTATTGTGCATCGTGATATTAAAAGTGACTCGATATTGCTTACAAAAGATGGCGTTGCGAAGATTTCTGATTTTGGTTTTTGTGGACAGCTCTCAGTGGATGTTCCGCGACGACGTAGTCTTGTTGGTACACCTTATTGGATGTCTCCAGAGGTATTTTTGCATCATCCCTTCTTTTTTTTTTAAACGTTTTAATGCAACATAGGATTAGACATCCTAACAAATTCTAAATGCGTCTTGTTTTGTTCGCAGGTGATCAGTAGGTTGCCATATGGCACCGAAGCCGATATTTGG